TTGATTAGAGTCCTAGTATAGTCCCCATGTTGAAGATACTGTGATGCTATGTATATATATACTAGTATGTGCAAATATATAACGTTATGTGCAATGACAATTCAAAAGCTTTTGGATATGATGGCATATGAAATAAAAGCTTATGAAGATTTTCAACCAAATTTTACCTTTGGATGTTGTAACTCATCTTTTTTTTGTTTTCTTTCTTTTTACAGTCAGCTTGTACCAATGGCAAGAGTCCCTGTAGGACCCTGACCAGTGGTTCTGGGGCAGACCCGCAGACATGTGCAGCGCCTGATACCCCGACACAATTTACAATAAATTAGTATGAAAAAAAATTTCTCCTGTGAGATTCGATCTCTCTCTGTCACGACTCCACCTATCAAAGTATTGCCACTCTCTTGTGCCGCTACCCTTCTGAGCGCGACAGACGCTTTGCCTCTAAAATACTACTAGTAGTAGACCTTTTAGACTGTGCGAGCTTGTGATGCAAAACTAGAAAATGATAAGAGTGTGTAAATCCAAGGTAAAACCTGTGGTAAAACTTACAAATGTTGTCCCATAGAATCACAAGAGTAGTGTACATCTGATGTTTATCATGTATGCAATATACCATCTTTATTCCACATAGGTAATTAAGGAAGGTTGAATCAGGTAAGGAATGTTGTTCTTGCTGCGAAATCGTTCGGTAGCATTCCTGCTTTGGAACACATGACTGCCTGCAACGGCGCCTGGTTGTGTATGAAATTTAATATGTCCTTGTCTTACACTATACTGTGCATGTTTCAGAATGCGCATGCACGTTTTATCTTTCAAGTCATGCAATTTTTTTTCAGACGAGTAAAATTGTACGCACGTTTTATTTTTAATCGATTATGTACGATATGCATTTTTTAATTTCAACCCTGTATGACTAGCCGTAAACACCGACGTCAAACAAATAAACGAAAGGATCAATATTTATGGAGCCTGGCGGTGTTTCCAAACGTAATCCAGGCAAACATCCTTGCATTACATCCATAGAGAATACAGGTCGTTTCGCTACATTGTCAGTTTGCTACAGTACGTTTCGCTCTATCGTGGTTAGTCGTTTCACTACATGGCAGAAGTGTGGCTACCCTGGCCCGAAGAGATCAGTGTCGTATCCCGCTGGCATCTGGCACCCAGACTAAACACATGCATGGTTAAATAAATCGCCCCGTATCAAAATATATGCGCCCAGCAAATCCGTACGTAAATTGCACACACATTCGAAATAAATTTCTTCTTCAATCCGTATGAAATTGTATTTAACGCTAACTCAATGAGCTTAAATCACCATAACCTTCTTGGATGAAATGTCATGATTTCATTCTTTGACATTTATAAATATATACGCGTTTGTGGGAATACGATAATGTTATTCTAATGTTATTAGACTATCTAGAGACTTCTGCCATGTAGCGAAACGTCTGTAGCGAACTAACAAGGTAGCAAAACAACCGGTTACCTCCATAGACCTTTCACCTATGTCAGCCACAAAAAATACATGACACAAGTACGATACAATGTCTCCTACAATATTATTAAATACTTTCGTCGCTGGTGTGTTTTTTAAACACCGCCCTTGTTCATTTTAGGACAAAAATTTCATTTTGCCCCGAACCCCAGCTATTAAACGTAAACGACCTTCAATATGCTATGAACATGCCCATAGAACTTTTGTTTTGCGTTTTCGACATACACTAATTCAAAATTTGTGTAAAATAGGACCTTTTTTTTGCTATGTTCAGTCAAAAATGCACATTTTGTTTCCGTACCTTAATACTAAAACCAAATGACCTAAAATGTTGTATAAATGATCCTTTGACAAATTGATTTCCATTTTTGTCGAACTTTTGACCAGACTGCTGTTGGCCAAATAGAGCAGAAAAGAGCATATATAAAGACACAAACAAAAGAATGAAAGAATTTGCATTGGATGCCTAGGATGACCAAAATACAGCTCTGAATAGGATTCACCTGCTCCAGGAACGTAAATGGTGTTAGGTGTGGTCGCGATGTCGGCGACGTCCTGCATATCAATGACCTCTGGGGAAAACAATATGGGAAATATCAAAATATCGCCTGTACCAAAAGTTAGAAATTTGAACAAAAATACAAAACTATATGTATGTGACTTTTTCTGAAAATCTTGTGCTAATCCGTAAACAATAATCAGGTTTTATTACAATAAATTTTCAGCAACGTGAACAAAACTTGTTACAGCTACAACAGCCGAATGTACAACAGCCAAATGTACAACCAAATTTTGGGGTTTTCTGAGTATTTATACAATCAGGATAGTTTTGACTAGCTCGAAAAAATACAAAAAGGTTTGTTAACATCCTTGTGATATTGTATTGTTCTTCTGTATGTAAAGATACTTAAATTACATTGTATACCTTTACCAAAAAAAAGCGGGCAGAAAAACGAAAATATTCACACGATTGAAACTAACGCTGCTAAAATGTTGTTTCTAGAAATAAAAACAATGCCAAGTTGTGCAAAAGCAGGCTGCTAACCATTTATGTCGCCAGTTTGAGACCGCCACTGCTGCCGGCCCGACATGGTGCCACGATAGGTTTCTGCAGAAGAAAACGTCCTCATCCCACCACAACACAAGTTTATTTGTCGATGTCTGTATTAGTCTGTGTATTGATCTGCCGATTTAGCCGTCCATCGGTGTAACACACGTGCTTTCCACTAAGGCTGGGCTTAGGCTTACCTAAGAACATAAAAAAGTCTCCCTTCTTTCTAAACAGGATCAAAAACAAATATGAAAACGAACTATACCGGGTAAGGCTTTCACGGGTTTAACAGTCGAGACAATTTTGTGAACTCTCAATCAGTCCTTTTGAGGCAATGCAAGTGTACAATAGTCTGGGTATTTGTCACATCTATTGGAACGGAGCGGTATACTTTATTGCCTACATTTATGCATTGAGATGTAGAAAAACAATTTTGAATGATTCTCAAGTTTCATTCCTTGTGGAAAAAAGTTTTTAAACAAGTTTTTAAACGAAGACGACTGTACATGGTACAATGCATGAAACACCTATCCTACAAAGTACATAAAAATAGTATAAAACTTGAAATATATACAATCAGAAGTAAGCAAATAATGTGAAAAATGTTCAAAACAAAAAACTAGATACCTCAGTTTTATTTTACAAAATAGTACTTTTATACATGTAATGCGCATGTAATCTACGGCAAGTGGTACATCAACTGATACCAATTATGCAAATAATCACCTTATTTGCATTAATTAAAATTAAAATGTGTCATTTCTTAATAGTGAATGATGTGAATTTTATACTTTTTGACATGTGTAAATTAGTTAAAGGTTAACATAACTATGCATATATTATTTTAATATAAAGGTCATTTGCATAATTAATTATAACAGGTTGACTTGAAATATTGTCAAAAGATAGGAATTTCACAAGCAAAATATTATAGTTTGAGATTCCAAGACCATACATCTAACTAGATTATGGTAAATCATGACCTTATTTCCATAATCAACAAGAGTTCCGAGATCTCATACCTCCATGAAATATGGGCTTGATATGTAAATGTAAATTTCTTCTTTAATTACGCAAATGACCTCTGCATTAACATAATATATGCATCGTGATGTTAACTTTTGATTAACTTAAAGATGTCCCAAGTATGACATTCCCATCATTTACCATTGAGAAATCATAGATTTTTGCATTAATTATGCAAATTAGGTCATCATTTGCATAATAAGTACCTGTTGATGTTTCATCTGCCATAGGTTACATACATTACATGTATGAAAGTTCTATATTAAATGTAAAACACTGTAATTATAGAATTTCCTCATTAATTATGCAAATAAAGTCCTCATTTTTGCAGTTAATTAGGTACATCTCTCTGTCAGATACCTACACCAAAAATTATGAAAATACGCTGTTCCTATCTGGACTTATTGGCTTTCAAAGATTTCGCCCGAAAGTCCCCTGCAGTTCCTGAACAAGCTGCTAGGGTGACCAAACCCACACCACTTATTCCTGACAGGAAAAGCTATCTGTCACCAAAAATTCAAGACCATAGCATGTTCAGGACCAAAGATACAAATACCGGCCGTTCTGCTGCAGTACCAAGGTCATCCACCAGGAGGCCCATATTTGACCTTGACCTTTGTCTTCCTAAGACTTATCAGCATACCAAATATCATCACAATCCATAAAGGCGTTATGAAGTTATGCTGACTACAAAGTTGCGGAAACACACACAGACACACACACACACAGACACACTGTCAGATGATGAGCCGAGTCACAGAGTCCGAACTTTAAGTGTTTAATCAACTTCCTATCCTAAGACAGCCACCACCAGGACCTCCCTCTCTAGAATCCACTCTCGACTGACCTCGCCTTCACATTCTTGGGCCAAACTGGTACAAACGATTGGATCCCATCACATTCGCTCCCGTTTCTTCTGATTGAAAAACTCATTTCAATCACCATTCTAAACTCTAGGTTCTCATTAGTCATAATTTACATTGTCGTAATACTGGTCCTGTGGTTTACATGCATTATACAAAGCTATAAAAAAAGGAAACGGATACTACTTGGGCATGTA